CACACACAAACTCACAGCCGAAGTAAAACAATAAGTGTGGCTTGATATTGAGTAAGAAAAAGGTTGATAAACGCTGTGAGAATGGGTCTGCAGAGAGAATTTCGCCGCGATCCCAACTGTCTGTTATCAGCCTGCAGCCAGGGAGGAGAAATCAGCTGAGCTGCCTGTGGATTGGTCCATTTCGTTCCGGGTACGGGATTACATCATCCCGTACCCGGAAGAATCAAATGGACAATGACGTATCTCCAACGAGGCGTTTTGGGGAGGTCTTTTCTGTGTTAGAGTTTTACTCGCTACAGGGTGTACTTTGAGGGTTTTGACTCTGCACACCGTTTACATGCATAAAAACCTTCATAACACACAAGGGGACGGGTAATAACCGGAAAAAACATGACACCTCTCCTTTAAACTTAATTAAGAACTTATAGTCGTATTTTGATGCCATGAAAGCATGTGGATAGATCCTAAACTGACCATGCTCTTTGGTGAACCATTTTCTGGAACATTGGCCATTCACAGGCTCCATGGGAGGTTTATAGCCTGAAAAGAGCTTGAATGTCAAACTTGCAGGAAAAATGTAACTCCCACCCACCCGCTCCTCCTCCTAAAGAGTCATCAGTGAGGGATTTTGGCAACCCTAATCCATGTTGTGCACAGTTATTCCAAGCCTGAGCCAGCACTCAGAAGAAAGAAAGTGGGTGCGTGTTGGTGCGTAGTGGTGAGCAGGGTAAGTTGCGTTCTCTCATTGTAGCCTGACTTCAAAGCCACGCGCTCACTATGCTCTCCACTGAAATCCCCCAAAACCTGACAACATTAGAATACCATCAAACACTCTGTGGCTGCCTTTGAAATGCCACTGACACTGTTTGGCGCCGCAATTTGCAGGCTCTAAAGAGCGCACCCATGTTATTGAAATAAATCTGAGCCTTGTAATGGGAATGGAAATGAACACATCTTTCATGCTTTGGCTTAGAAGTGAATATTGAGATGGAGCCTTGTTTCCCTGGAGAGTAGGCTGTTGACTTTGTAGCTCTCCCTCAGTGTCCATTGTAGCCTTGCCTCTCCTGTCATTTTCTTTTCCCACGTCCTCTATTCCTCACTCCGGTATTCAGCTCTTACCCTCGTCCAGATGGCAGAAAACGATACAGTCCGGAGGGAAGATTTTAAAATGTCTGCAGTGAGAGAGATACAAAAAGCCAGACTAATAGTCGCAAAGGTTAAGTGTACTAAATGAGTGCTTTGATAGACTTCAGTCTATTGATTTTATAGTCAGCCAGCGCTAACCATAGGCTTTTCACTTTGTGCTGGCGTGATCAAAGATAGACATACTAGACATGTATGGATTGATGACTTTCAATCAGACACACACAGCCATTGCTTTTACAAGGTAAAGGGATGGGAAGAGTAGGGAGACATATAATGAGAGCATTAGGTGGTAAATTCCTCCCAGCTACCTTTTATCCGCTGTGATTAAGAAACATGAACAATACAGGTTACGGCACTCACAGTGAAACAATACGGGTTGGTTTTGTAACAATGTATCCCCTATTGTGTACTAATTTGTATGTATTGGGACTACCAGTTAATAAAGCTTAATTACAGTGGGGGTTGGGCTTCCGAGTCACATCATTAGTGAACTAAAGAGATGAGATACTTATTCAAATAAACTAATACAAATAATAAACTGTCTGCCCCTTATGTAGTTAGTTTGTCATGTTGCAACGCTATGTAGCCTTGTTTATAATGACTATGTTAGTGGAACTTGTTCCGCAAGTTGAGCCAATGTCCCTCATTTGATTGGCAGTCTCCATTCTTGAACTTACCTTTTTATACAATGGCTGTGTACAAAGCAAGGTAGGGCTATCACCATTGCGTATGTCGGATGTAAATTCATCGACATACGCGTGGGTTGGGTCAAGGGCACTCCAAGCTGTCCCCGTTCTCGTGGCATATTTGGTCCCCTACTGGCAGAAAAATTGCACAGACCACAGGGATCCCCTTTTTGACAGAATATGATGGAAAGTATGGGGATGAAAAAAAGTTGCAACAACAGTCTGGGAAAGTTTTTGCTCATTTATTAAGCTGAGGGCAAATCCTAGAGAGTTTTCGTGACAGTTGCCAGTTTTTCTTTTCAATCGCGCATGGAGAAGACTGATTTGAAGCAACACACTACATGTAAGACTTTATTACATCATTACACTAATGGTTTCAAAATACATTTTTATTTTAGGGTTATATGGGGACTACATTGACATCTAAAGTACCTCTCAGCATTGTGGTAACATGTGTCATATTGTCCCAGACAAACCTACTCTTTTTCCCACCTTGTCACCGTTCTTGAGCAGTCGTGCACATCTTAGAGATTCTAACTTCCAGGAACATTAGGTCCATAGGTAAAGTATTGCTCCAAAACAAGATGTTAAAAGACAGCTCAAACATATAAATATGGGCAATTGACGTTTTTATACAAATACAAAATAATGAGTTGGTTTGGAAGAGAAAGTGTCAAGCCTTTGCACGATACATGGAAGCTGTGCTTTATTTTAAGAGAGGATCAAGTGTTCCACAAGCTACACAGAGGAACTTGTTAAATCTGGGCTCAAATCTGAACCCATTCCTTCATCAGAAATACAGTATGTGAGCAGAACACAGAGATGAGAGATTCCCAGATCATTGTTAAGGGTTTCCTTCTGCTGGCTATGAGCTACAACAGACTTTCTGTGTTATGTTAAACTAAAAGCATGACATCCATAATGAATAAGTAATGCAAGGCATTGTCTTGAGAGCCCTGTCCTTGTCCCAGTGGAGGGGGGAACAAATCTTTCCTATCTACATTTTTGCTTGTTTTTACAATCAAATAAAAAGTTGTTTTTGTGGACAGACAACATGTTTTTCCAGAGACACGTGGCTGTATTGATAATCATCTCACATCATGTGCAGGGTTTACCCTGAGCATTTACAGGGCTTGGGTGCTGTGCAAATATCCAGGTAGTACTCCCCTAAGACATTATGAAGGCTTTTGACTTTGAAATATGCAATTTCACTTAACTTTGGAACATTTGTATGAGTATGGAAATAGCTTAAACACAAAACGGTTTTGTTTTATAATTTATATTCATCTATCCAATCATATGGTCATTGGTTAGATCCCCAGCTTCAGCACTCAACATGTCGGTGTGTCCTTGGGCATGATACTCATATTGACATTGCAGTGGTATGTGAATGCATCTTAGTGTTTGTCTCCTTGGAGCAGGTGGGACTTTTTATGGTAGCATCTGTCTCGGCATGAATGTGTGTGAATGGGTATACGCTGACCTCTATATGTAAAAGCACTTTGAGGGGTCATAAGACTAGATAAATAAATGTGTTTTTAAATGCACAAAAGCCTGCATAACACACTACAGTAAAGGGAAAACCCCATAAAGCATAGGGCCACTTAAAGGGGACCTATTATGCAAAATGCACTTTTTGATATCTTTTATACATAAATATGTGTCCCCGGTGTGTCAGGGAACTCACAAAGTGTCAGAAAACAAAACCCTCTCTCTTTTCCTCCGTACCCGCATCTCTAAAAAAAAAAAAAAGGGGGCTCTAACAAGCAGATCCAGAATTTTCGCTCCTATAACGTCATTGGCGACATCCGGCCGACGTGACACGTCCCAACCTATCGTCTCCGGCACACATGACACGTCCCAACCTATATTCTCCGGCACACGTGACACGTCCCAACCTATCGTCTCCGTATACAGTCGCAGTTGTGTGTCTGTGCCTGCATCTCACTTCGGTTAAATGAAATCTTTGCGTCCCTCACTTGCGTCGTTTCCCTTCGTTTAGTCCCTCCCACCAGGGAAGCATGGAGAGACGCAAGGAAACCACGAGAAGCAGGGAAATGAGTTTTAAGAGCAATGGGACGTCCTAACGTAACCCACTTACTGTGTGGTTTTCAATGTCATTGTTAAATATATTATCTATTAGGGTGGCACAATGGGATGTCACGTCCTATATATACAGCTGATTATCACATTTATATTGTTTTCCTTGTAGATTTCAATTGTTATACTTTCTAATAGGTTGTCAACCACAGTTGTCATACTGTCCACCACACTAAAGTGCAGAGTTGTATCCACATAGATGGCAAATCCTCCTCCTCCCTTATTTGGTCTATTTTTGTATCTGAGCTCATATCCATCCAGCTCAAAGTCTATGTCCTTTTCGTTGTTGATCCATGTTTCAGAAATAGCAATTATGTTGAATGGTGAGTCATGTTGCACCTGCTTTACCCATCAACAACATGTGTAGACATCCATCCAAGAACACCCAAAAACCCCTCCCTTCGTGTTCCGTAACAGCAGGAAGCATCACGGGAGGCCGAGGTAAAGAGGAGGTGAAGGATGAGGGAGGGGAGGATTGTCAGGCCTGAGGGTGGGGGAGGACATGGGGATAGTGTCACGAGACCAAAGGAAGTGTGTGAGAGAGATAAAGAGCGGATAAACATGATCAGAAGGGATAAAGCCCGCTAGAGTCATTGGCGGTATCTCCTTTAGTCAGACAATACGAGCTCACACGTGCACGCGCCACATGCATCTGACTTTAAGGTGACACACTTCTCCCCCTGCACCTTAAATCCTTTCTCCTCTTGCCACTGCATTCCATTGCACTCTCTGTACAGCCCTGCAAAAGGGAGTCAGACACATTAATAAGTCTACAATGCGTGCAATGGGTCATAAATATTGCAGCAGGCTTTTGAGAATAGAGATCACTGACTTTTATTGTAGCTTAGCTGACAGAGCCTTTCAGAACATCCTCCTCTTTCCTCAGGGTGTGTGTTTATCTTCAGGGTATCTATTTATATCCGCTTTTTTAGTTGGCAACCTCTTTAAGTTCTCTTCTTTACGGTGCAGTGAATACCTCGGTGACTTGTGGCTTGACATTTCGGTTTATAATTTGTGAGTGAAATGAGTGAAGACATAACACCTACCCTTTCCGTGTGTTTCTTTCAGTCGAGTTTGATGACTGCGCGGGGAATGAAGATGTGAAGTTCGAGGTGTCGGACCCCAACTTCCACGTCAATGGAGACCTGAATCTGGTCCCTCAGCGAGATGTCCTGTACAGCCGGCCTATCCTGTTCGTCCACGGGCTGAGTGCACATGCAGACGACGTGGCACAGGTGGACGTCACTGGACTGCCAGTTCAGTCGCCGCACACTCTCAGGGTTAGTACAAATTGCTGTGGGTGTGATTTTATGCGTGTGTGTGTGTTTTCTTTATTTACACATCATCAGAATTGAAAAGGTTACGCTTCATTAAAAATTGAAAAGGTTACTGTAATGTAGTATAACCAGACAAAAATATAGCTGTGATTAAATAACAATGTCCCCGGGGGGAATAAGTGGATTTATGAGCTGCTCTCTCGTTTGATATTTAACGGGAATACACTTTGTTTTCTTGCCAGGATTTAAGTTACAAGGTTGATGCCACAAAGAGTAAACTTATCTTGGTCCAAACGCAACAAAATCGTCCCAATACTCACTAATTACACATTATCTGGCGGACTATATCTTTGCTTGGCGGTGGGCGTGTCTTGAGCTTGGGGAGTTTACGCGAGCATGAATCTCTGCTGTCAATTCCATAAAAGGTTTTACATGTCACACTTTATATGATGAACATTTATGACATTAATGTCTATGGTGCTATTTTACGCACCATTCCATGCTGGCTAAATACTGTCTATGCCTGCTAGCTGTCCATTCAAACGAAGTACACTGGATATAAACTCCCCAAACAGGCGAAAACCTACCAGTTTCACCCACTGTCTCTGCCACCTCCCTCCATGCCTGGCTCCTTCGGTTTGTATCCCGGTAGGTGAACAGGGACTGAAAGCACCGGGTGATTCCCTACCGCTACGATTATTTTCTCCTCCATTTTTTGGCATATGAGGAAATGAACTGCGGTCTGGCTCTCCCAGCATACACGCGGTTTGATTGGCTAGCGCTTGGACTGGCAGATTTGCATACGCGGGATTTGATTGGCTGACGCCTCCGTCGAAGCTTCAAAAGTAGAACATTGCTCTACTTTTGCAGCGAGCACCGCGAGAAAAGCTACGCTTTGCTCCCACAATGCAGTTCGGCGAAGCGTGATGTCACCCCATTCAAAGTGAATGGACAGAAGCATTGAAGCGTCAACGCACGTGTGTAGGGGCCGTAAGGACACAATTATTATCACCACAGCAGGAATCCCATGTGTCACGCACTCAGCTGTCTCTCACTGTGAAAGGACATTACCCAGGTAACCATAACCTACATACTGATAGAGAAGAAGCAAGTAGACTGTTCTTTTAACTGTTAGACTGCTATGTTGTTAAGTTATCCATTTCCTGTTCCTTTCATTTACCTGGAGGTTATTTTTATGAATACAAATTGTAGTTTGAGTGTCGGGTTAGGTATTCATAATTAATCTGTAAGGAAGGTTCTAGTCAGGTTATTATTTTTGCTGAATTCACTGATTACACTCCAGTGTTTAGAACACCAACAAACACCACCACCCTCAAACACCGGCGTTGTGGCAGACAGATGAATAATATTGAGGAACTGTAAGCAATGTGTGCACATGTCCTCACTCCTTTATCCTTCAGCAAAGTCTTCATGTATAACAATATGGTTTGGTAATCAGGGAAAGCGTGCTCAGAGATGTGATCACAGGCACTGGAGGGTAATCCACACAACTTTCATACATTACTGATCGTTAAAGCAAATAAAACATAACACATTTAGAGGCATCTGGTGTCAGTCATGTTTATGTACATTTTGATGAATTCTAATCACCAATAATTTCAGGCTTGCTCATAACCTTAATTATCCTCAATTACCATAATTGCAACACCTCAGAGATGCCATATACTGTAAGGCAGATGGGAAATACCCATACTATAATCTTTAAAACCAAATTCACATTAAAATGAAGTGAAAAGTAAACTAAAATGCACATATAACCGTGATATTATGTGTCAATTTAAGTTAAAACAGTCTATTTCAAAACACGTGGCGGTTTTACAGCCTTAGTAAAACACCACAGGGTAGAGCACAGAGAAGGTGATTGATGTTACATCCACCAAGAGAACCATATAAGAAGTTTAAAATAATGAGTTTTGATTTACTAAAGAGGATCACGTGAACGCCGCTGGAGGAGGCCAGGAGAACAGACGCTGTTGTGCTCTGCCATGCTACAGTGAGAATACCCCCCCCCATCACCAGAGATGTGTGAGCTCGTGCATATGGCATCAAAAACAACCGAGCCCAGCACTAAATCTGCAGGTCGATGATTTATAGTAGACAGTCTAAATATATTGATCCAACTTACTGACACTTAAGGATGTTTATCTGTCGGAAAGGCCCTTAACACTTAAGGAGTGTCCAAGGGAAAGTGAAAGACTTTTATAAAGGGTCCACTGTGGGTTTCACATTTTACCCGTGCTCCAAGCCAGTGTTTGGTTTCTTGACTTTAAAAATAAATCGGGTCCACTTAAACTTGGAAAAATACCAAATGCGGAGCCATTTCTTGTGTATTTTAGTCATTATTCATGCATGAGGTCATATGGAACGGAGCAGGGAAAGAAACCCTTCTACAGGGCAACATAAACATGAACAATTACACTTGCCACTTCCAATTATGTGGGAATTTGTCCAGTAAGCCTGCACCCCAACACTGAGCTTTGTTTCCCAGCAAATGTGTCCTTTTGTTTGTCTAATCAACAGCAATGTTTTTCTGTAAGCCAGCAAATTGAGTGCCATATAAAACTCTGTGCACCTGAACAAACACCATTGTCCCTCATTCATATACCTCAGTCCCCCCCTCTGTTGAGTCGAAATACTCTTAAGTTGATTAGGAAAAGTTTCCAGTTTGTGTTTCTCTCATTTTCTGGGAGATCATCTGTCATCCTGCTGCAGTGCTCGGCGTCCTGCTGCTTCAAGTCCTCAAGCCCAGAGCTTAATGAATGTTTCCATCCAGCATACAGCAGGAAGTGGCTCTCATTTGTTGGTGCCTATCACCATCAATTATTAGGTTAGCCAGTCCATGGGAGCTACCTTGGCAAGTCATTGAAGATCTAAGTGAATTAGTCTTTTGGCAAATGATATGAGGGAAGTGAAGTGTACAGTGAAACAGTTGACCTCTGTGTGTGTGTGTGTGTGTGTGTGTGTGTGTGTGTGTGTGTGTGTGTGTGTGTGTGTGTGTGTGTGTGTGTGTGTGTGTGTGTGTGTGTGTGAGAGTGTGAGTGAGTGAGTGAGTGAGTGAGTGAGTGAGTGAGTGAGTGAGTGAGTGAGTGAGTGAGTGAGTGAGTGTGTGTGTGTGTGTGTTTGATTTCCATGAGACAATTTTAGTTTGTAAATTACTTTCACAAGCCTTTATTTTGTGCATTTAGTCAAAGCAAGAAGCATGGCTAGATCTGTCCACGTCTTGGTTCATATATCTCTCAAATTGTTAAAGATATGTCCACTAACTTAAACAGACATTCGTGGTCCTCAGGAGATGAACCCTTGTGACTTTACAGACGCCCCTTGACGAGTTCTAGAGCAGGGGTGTATATTTACGCCCTAAGGGCCAGAACTGTCCTGTCACTGGGTGCAATAGGATGTCTTTGCAAGGTTTGAAAATAAGTACTTGTTTCCATTTTTCAGTTCAATGCACTGCTAACCTTTGTCCACTGGGTGTTGCCCTGTCCAGATGAGAGTAGTAGGCAATATGCTGGCTATGCTATTACAGATCCAACATGCTTATGTCCAACTATTGGGAACAAAAGTGTTCTTTGAAGAAATTGAAAATAAATGTTGTTGAGTTGTTATTCATCAGTTATTATCATGCAGTATAGTTTCAGCCCACTTGAGATTCAATTGGTCTGACATCCCTGCTTTAGAGCCAACACAAGGTTGACATTGATCATTTATCAGCAACTTTTTGAAGAAATGGCACATTCGTGGCCATCATAGTATGTATTCTGATCCTCTGACTTTTCATTTAGCACCACCATGAGGTTAAGGTTTTGTCCAATACTTTGCCTTATGATTACATACCTAAAGATATTCCCAATATCCTCAGCTGTACATTTTTGCCAATTAGCAAACGTTTGTCCTCTGATTAAGCCAGTAAATGAGCACTTTTACGTGCTTAATATCAGCTTGTTTGCATCGCCAGTTGCACCTTAACATGCTGGTGTTAGTGTTTAGTTCAAATCACTGCTGTGCTGTCTAACAGAGACACTGGAAAGGCTGACACTCTCTGTCTTTTTACAAAAATAAATTCCAAATTATTATAAAGACATTATATTAAAGTAATAGGCATGTGGCGCAGTGGGTTAGTGCGTTGGTGTTCGGATCAGGGGGTCACAGGTTCAAACCCCACTGCAGTCAGCATGTCGTTGTGTCCCTGGGCAAGACACTTCATCCCAAATTGCTCCTGTGGGGATTGCCCACAGTATTGAGTATGTAAGTCGCTTTTGATAAAAGCGTCTAACAAGTAACATGTAATGTAATAATCTATCAAGCATTCAAACGTGTAGTCACTCTCTGAAGGGGAATTCTGGTTCTTTAAAACGTAGGTCTTATTTTTGCTTATTATTAACATTTAAATTGGTAGTGACAGCGTTGGCGGAAATCATGGTTGAGATCGCGGAAGATTGGGACAAATGGAGAAATGGCTATAGACTAACTGCAAGCAAGATTACATATTTGTACTAATAAGGACAGAAACAAATCCCTAGTTGTTATCTTCAGGAGATTGTACATCATGTTACTCTGCAACAACATACATCCAATGATAGTTAGAACATATTAACATTACATTACATTGCATTTAGCTGACGCTTTTATCCAAAGCGACTTACAATAAGTGCATTCAACCAAGAAGATAGAAACTTGAAGAAGACAGAATCAAAACATTTCAAGTGCTACTCAACTAGCTTTAGATAAGCCAGTCCTTTATTAGTATAAGTGCTTTGTTAGTAATTGTATTGCTCGAAGTGGAGTCGAAAGAGATTAGTTTTTAGTCTGCACCGGAAGATGTGTAAGCTTTCTGCTGTCCCGATGGCAATGGGGAGCTCATTCCACCATTTTGGAGCCAGGATAGCAAACCGACGTGTTTTTGCTGATGGGATCTTGGGTCCCCCTCGCAGTGCGGGTGCAGCGAGCCGTTTTGCTGATGCAGAGCGGAGTGCACGTGCTGG